ATAAAGTGTTGGGGTTGATGATGCTTAGTTTTGTGAAACTTACTTCAATTTATGTTTGATGTGTCATGTGACTGCCTCTGGATATGTGCCAGAACATACACAATTTTTGTGTTCCTACTCCACTTACGGATTCAAAAGCTGAGTGCAGACTTCTTAATGCTTCTGTTTGCAAGGTAAATTCATCTTTAGTATGGACGATCTCAAAGTTATAGGATTATATTTGACAATATTATTTTCATGATTACTGGATTTTCCATTTATTTACAGCTTATATTAAATTTACTAGATCAAGCTGATATTCTTACATGTTGTTATTAGGTTGCTTTGTCGAAAGATCTTTGTCATTTGATAGTCACATGTTCAGGAGAATTGATTGATGATAGGGAAGAATCAGAAAGCAGACGAGTGACTCAACATGGTATTCATGGCTTACACTGCATGGTGCTTGATACATCTATATTCTGGAAGAGGTGACTTTCCTTGTAGAACCCAGTATATGACAGGTTGTTTAATATGTATTGGAAGTTGTGCTGCCATGTTGGTTATAGTATATTAGTCTTTACCATCTTTTTCTCTTGATTTCTTGTTCAATGTTTCAATCTTATCGATATGCTCTAGATGTAAAATTTTGGGCTCTAACATCAGTTTAGATGTGGTTGATACAGTCACGTTATGTACTGCTTCCTTGTTTAAATATCTTTTCTACTCGTATATTGATATCCCCTTGTCAATTTAAAATATGCTTACGACTGTAATTCTCATTGTAGGAAAAATGAGCTTCACCAAGTGGCGCAACAAGCATCTAACATTGAGGAATTGGTGGAGGTTATTCGGGCGTCACTTTCAGTTATGCACAAGCAGTGGTCTGATGCTATGCACACTTTCCATGAAAAGTTTGATTCTCTATCTAATCTGATTGTTGACCATGGTAATTTCTGGATCCTGCGATGTCCCACTTTCTTGATGTAATTCTTGGTTATATGATTCTTCCATTCATACAGTTTGTACCATTTGTATACAGGACTTGACTCTTGTCCCCAGGAGGAGTTTTTGAGTCTTTTAGGTGGTGCAAGGACTAGTCCACCAGTTCATCAATTTCTTGTTAACTCTCTTGGTGAAGTGGTATGCTTAGTGCTATGTAACATACTATTTTAACATTGAGATTTAGTATCACACTGAGCAATGTGTATATGATGACATTGTGAATTCAACAAAGCTTTTTTACTCATAGGGCGTGAAGCGCGTGTCAAAGGCTGTTTGTGGTGCCGGAAAAGAACTCCAGCTTATTGTCCTAAATCATCTCCAGGTGCTAGTTAGCCCTTGCAGTGGATGCAATATTTTCTTGTTAGGAGCAACTGTTTTTTGTTTTACTTTCTCTGGGTATCATTTTTTACAAAAAGTTACATGATCTGTGATCGGGAACTATATCAGAATACAATTTTTCTAATATATGGATATGGAACTGACAGGCAGAAAAAGGAAACGCTGATTACCATTGTGAAGTCTCAATTATATTTTTGTTGGTTACAAACGCCAAATATATGTGATCCTATTTTCTAATGTTCATTCCATCAGAGGACTTGGGCAGAAACTAAACATAGTTTACCCTTTTTCAGCCTGCTGCAGAAATTATTGCATTCAGGATGGGAGAATTAAGAGGCCTTTCAAGATGGCGAGCACGATATCAGGGAATTGGTTTGGATGAGACGCTCATCAATAATGCGACAGAAAAAGCTGGGATGATACTTTTACAAGTTGAACGATTTATCAGGGTGCTGTCAACTGTTGTGCAGCAGGTTTGCTTGAGGTTTATACTGTAATAAAAATGAAAGGGAGCACAGTTTCTTTCTTCATTACTAAATTGTCTTTTCTTTCAGTTTTCAAATTTCTTCAACTGGCTCTTGAAATGTATAAAGTTACTTATGTCAGAACCAAGCGATCATCATCTTCTACTGTACAATAGGTATGTGTCACACTTTCCTCTGTATTTTGTTTGCTACCAGCAAATATCCTTTTACTCATACGTTAGGTTTTGGCAGTGAACTAGTCGTTATATTCTTGAAGTTTTTATACGACCAAGATCCTGTCAAGCAGTTGCTGGAAGCATCAGAAGCCGATCACCATATCGATATTGGTTTGTAAGTTATTTCTAAATCTTGTCTGCAGTGCAAACATTTTCGCAATTATTCTAATATATCATGTATATCTTTTATGCATAATGGCTTCTCTGTAGTCGTCTATGTTGTATAGCTGCAGATGGCTTGATATCTAATATTCTTATTGCCTACGGATCACATCCAAATTAATAACACCATATGTTATGTACATGTCTTATGCATATATGTGCATGTGAAAACAACAGACGTGTGCTTGCATGTTAGCAATTATACAAGTATTTTGATTCTCATTTTGTATCTCTAACCAAGATGAAGTTGTATTGTTTTCAGGGAAACAATGCAAAGAGTTAAAGAACTGGTTCAGTTTGGGGGATTTTCAGATTTTGGATATCTGCAAAGGACATTAGCAAGGAATCCCAGCAGATGGAGTCTAGGTATGTAGATTTCCATGGCCCTCATCTATGAACATTGGAGCAAATATAGTATATCCTTGTAAATGCCAACACTTGGGTTCCTCAAAATGCTAATTTATGATGACCGAAATAATAAGAAGGAAAGTGAAATCCTGCTTGTTTAACTTAGCATTGAGTCACTAACAAAAACAGGCAAGGGTGCACTGCACACACACGGTTATGAGCATGCATACATATGGTACTGCCTTTTCAATTTCAACTTACAGGTGCCCCTTGGTCTTTTAGTTTCAAGGAGGCTTTTCTGATGCCCTTTACAACAATATCAAGAAAGATACTGTGCAAGGATTTATTGCCGCTTTGCCCTCTTCCACCTTTGTCATCATCTTCGTCAACCACCATTCCTGTTTCAGTATCGTATTACGAGGTACTTATTGGTTTTGCAGTTCGGGATGTTTTTAACTTGAATCTTGTGATTCAGTAAAATCAATTTGAATTCATTATCGATAACACCGGTTCTTTTATTCCTATTCTATAGGATGCCTCCCAATCGGTCTCTTCTTGTCAGAGTGAACACTTGTTTCTCGATTACATATCTTTCCAAATACCAGATGAGTCTCTCTCCGGAATTGCAAATTGCATAGGAATAGTGAGAGGGTTTATGCATGACTCAAGCAGTGTAAACAAGGGCTATACTTCATTAGAAGCTGTATTGTTGGGGGTCCCTGCTGGTTATTACTGTGTGGATCTTTCCTTATATAAGGTAGAGACCTAAACTGATCGTATCCGTCATTTTATTTTCCTTTTCTGGAATGTTTCATAAACTGCTTTTACTTATAACAGGAAAGTCAGATTGTTTTGTTATTAAATGAAACAATCGCCGTTTCTGAAAGTTCTGGAGACGCCTCTATGATGATTGTGCAAACAGATGACCTTCCATTTGTATCGATCGCAAGATCCACAGATCTAAACTATTGGACGTTGCATCAACTAAAGGTAATTCTGATCTTTGCTCCCTTGTGCATTCGTTGTGTTATATTACTTAAAACGAGAAGATGCCATAACTCTAGATTTCTGTTCCCACGTTGCTCTGTGGCATATATGATACAACTGCTCAAATGTGTATATTCAGGACTCTGTTGTTCACCTGGAAATGGAGAATGAGAAGGTGCGTAGAATACCTCACTCCGTCGTTGCACCCCTCGCAGTCAGCTGTAAGTTCTAAAAGCTGTTTCTCACTTCAAATCAAACAAGTTCTATCACCCGTGTCTCAAATTATTCTCACTTCATCCTTGTAGTTTCAAATTGAACATGAGAGTTCTGCGTTTTTTTTTTCTTTTCTGAAATTTCGGATGAATTCTACTGTAACAGCATCAAGAGGCGTGGCCTGTGTTTTTGCTGCGAGAAAACGCGCCTTGGTCTACATTCTGGATGAAGACGAAGATGAAGTCTCAGATGCAGAGTGACTGCATTTAATTTACTCCTGGAACAAATATGTTTTGCATACTCCGCCTCGGCGTGTATCATACTTCTGTTTAGCCAAAAAATATGTTCTGCATTTCGTTTCTCAGCATGTATCGTAATTTTGATCCTCTCTTGCAAAGTTGGACATTTTGTAAGTATGAGAGAGAGAGGTGAAAAAGGACTAGCGTGCGTATTTTAAAATTAACAAAGTGTCGTAAAAGACTTGTAACTCAATCGGTTATGATTGTTCATGCCTGTAACCAAGGTCTCGTATTTGTCGCTCCAGCCTAAACCATAAAAATAGGATGATGTGCGCAACAAAAAAATAATATTAACAAAGTGCATTCGCCTCTATTTTTTCTCACCTGAAAATATGAAAAACTTAGTTCCCTCTGCTGCCGACTTCTACTTTTAGGTGGAAATCGGTGGCAACCCCACTTCCAATCTTCCTTGCCAACCCCAACTTCTCCCTCTCTATTGTCCTTTTAGCTTATGTGTTTTCTCACTTTCGCCTTGGATTTTTATTTCCTTGAGTTGTGTCTCAATTTTCCGGTTCTTGTCTCAGATTTGGACTTTCATGCCGCACTCTTGCTCAAATGTTGGTTTCCGTTGCAAGTCTTCAACCACCATCCTTTGCTACTCAGCCTAGGTGCCTCTCCTTGGCGGCACGCTTTTGTGTAGGATAGTTGTTAAAGTGTTATTAGCACTATCTGGTAGAACTATGGGAGCACTTTTTGCGCGGATGGCTTGCTTACCCTCATTTTCGTTCATTCAGTCATTTCATAAGTTCTTGGTGGTCATGACGGCCCTTTTATGGAAGCGCAGCTGTTTGGTGGAGGCAAACAGTACTCCAGATCTAGGGTTTTCCTTGTTGTAAGCCGGCTACTTTTGGGCCTTTTCATCGTGTCTTCTTTGTTGTGCTTTACCTGTAGTTGGTTACTTTGGACTGCCTTTCGCATCTTGTTGTAGCCTTTTTATTAGTGGAGTTTATTTAGTTTGACAACAAAAATACGTCGGAAGCTCTGATGGTACATTGAATATAAATCAACATAAAACTTCTTATTGCTGGTGTCGGAAGTTGACGCCACAATTTTAACTAACATAACCGCCATAATTACGTGGAAATGTAAACATGAAAAAACCCTTGGCTCTCTCTAGCCGCAGGAACAATTCCCAGCCAAAATCTCGCTAGTCTCGTAGGAGCAAAGGCCTTAAGTTGAAACAGCTCAACCTGTGTTGGTTTCGGAACTTGCAAGCAAGAATGTTGTTAAACAACCCTTGCAGTAAAACACAACGGTAAAGCAAGGTGTCGATGGAAGACATAAGCTGACTGCACATGAACTGTACACGCACGGAGATGTCCCAAGATCGGTGGCTTATATTCAAGAAACATCACAAGAGCTCGAGCTTGAGGTTGTACCCGCCAATTAATGTCCACAACCGTAGTACTCTCAGTCAGAAACTGCAGCGTGACAGGAATAAGGCAGGCAGGGAGAAATGAAGCCTAGAGACACCAACATCGGATCAACTTTGCCTCGTCCATGTGATATTTACAAATCATCCAACTCAACAAGCTGAGCCCGTCTCTCAGCAGCCTTCTTTCTGACGAATATGCCCCATCTAAGGGCTGCCTTGAGCTTGAGCCAGCCAACAACAGCTTTCCCAGATGAACGGCTCCGATCATCATCAATACTGTAGTCCGCTTGTGGAGTGGGGATGTATGATGACGAATAAGGATAATTGTCTTCAGTGACGTTCATGGAGGAATGACCATAACTGTGGCCTTGACCCTGACCGTCCATGTTAAACACACGAAGCAGATGCTGCATATCTTCATTTTCAAGAATCTCATGGCTCCTCATACGAATTTCTTCCTCTGGGAAGAGGTCCTCGACTCCCCTATAAGAAGATAGATTGGATGTGCCGATATTCTGGAAGCCTGATGTGGACGACTGTAGTGGACCAAGGGAAAGCATGTTTTCATTTCTTTGAAAATGCGTATGGTGTGAAATGCTAGGCAGCTGATTCTGTAGAGGAAATGACAAGTCATCGAGCTGAACTGGAGCATTCAGATTTCCATTCTGTGACTGTATTGGGAATCTGGCAGCCATGCCATCATCATAACCTAGTGAGAGGAGAGAATTCACACACATCAGAAACGGAAGTTAATCCAAAACACACAAACCACACTTCTGAAAATCAAAATTTTCAGGTTGGTAACCGTGATGTTTGAAGAGTAATGCAAGCAACGAAAATTCTTATATGTGTATAATGACCCCCCGGCTTCGGTCTGAAAGGCTCAGGATTAAATTTTAGTAATTTGGATATAATTATTTTGTGGCAATAAAATAAAGAAGATGTATGTATATACCTCCCACGTTTAGGCCGGAATCCATAGGAGGCGGTTGTGAAGAAACTGAAGCTAGCAGGCTAGGTAGGGTGAACTGCTGTTCACATGAGTTTGGATAATCTTGCGAGGCCATTGGGACCTCAGGTAGAGAAACATCTGGACTTTTCTGCTGCTTAACGCTTAGAAGAGATTTTCCATCATACTCCATAACATGCATCCAGTTGTCGTATGCCTTTTTTACCAAACCGTCCACATAGACCTGTAAGAAACACAACACTTCACAATTCAACCACTTTGAGGGGTCATGGCTCATCACTACTTTGTATCATTTTAGATACATTAACCAGGAAGGTCAACCTGCTCGGGAGAAAAGAGTGTTGTTTACGAATAAAAGAGTAAATGCATATGGACTGAATTTCTTCAGTGTGAAAAAATATCCTCTATGGAGAAAATGGATTCTATCTCATTAAGTGTACATGCTTTGCGACATTTAACTAGTAGCGTCACTCCACCATTAGATGGAACAGGATACCAAATCAAGGCACTATAAAAGAGAAGTAAAAAAAGAAAAGACAGAGAAACCAGACGGTCACATACCTTCTGAGTTTCCGAGAGAGAATCAGCAGAGTAAAATTGTTCATCGGTAATTAGGCCACTCAACTCGTAGATATTGTTAAAAACAACACCAACATTCCTTGCATCCTCAGGATAATAGACATAGAGTTTCCCACCAAGAAGACAAGTTTTTGCATGCTGTATGAGTCCATCCCACATCTTATTTGACATGCCACTTCCAAGAATCTATGACAAATGGGCATAAAAATAATTAGGAATTGCATTTTCAAAATATGAACTTGACAAACAAATTCCAAAATCTTACATTCCGCAGTCTCTGCGAGTCTCTAACCACAAGTCGTAGGAAGTCTTCAACTGTAACAATTCCAGCTTTATTCAGCCTCTTGTGGAATGATCCATCTTTTCCAATTTTCTCTAATCTCCAGACCTCATCATGTAACGCAGGCGGGTAGTGTTTCTTGTACACTGTAAAGAAACCAAAAGAAAACTTACCATGTTGATTTTTATTCGACTAAAAAATGAAATGTTAAATAACACTAATTATTAACTCACATTCCCCACGGTGATCCTTAACAGTGATGGCTTCTGTTTTTGCTTCCCGTATACGAATGTTGTCACAATTGCCCGAAGCAACTTTCAGTCCTAGCCTAAACTTCCTGCTCCTAATCCAGCTAGAGTTATCGGTAAATGTCAATTCCCCAAGTGTTCCTACACCTTCGTTCAGTGTAATTTGCAGATCCCCAGTAAGAAGTGGCCTCTTTCCTTCACGCTCTTTCACCACATGGCTCTCAAATTCTTCTTGCGTCCAGTTCTCATCATCCTCGTTGTTAAAATCACCTTCAAGCACAACAACGTCTAATTTCACCGCAGACTCCGGACCTGATGTCACGATGTGTTTTGTATTTGCATCAATCAAGACAATAGGGATTGCAGAACCCCACTCCCCTTCTACTTTTCCGCCAGTAAAAAGAGGAAGGGACAACCTGGACCTAAAATGCAGCTGCAAGTTTCTTCCATCGGGCCCTTCAATTTGTTTAGGAGAAGACCTGCTATTTTTAAACCCATTATAAGAACAAACTATTGACATGGAGGCATCAGCACTGATTAAATGAAAAAAAGGAAACAACCACAGATCATAACCCGTTAACACATAAGGGGTGAAAAGGGTTGATACCTTCCAGTAAGTTTGGCAGGGCCTAATTTTGCTAAAGCACGCTCCACCTCTTCGCTAACCTGTTCACCAAAATAAGTAAGAAACATCAACCAATGCTTGAAACACCGTATGGCGTATGCACATATCAAAGGATCAAATCATGTTCATTAGGCATGCATTAAACTTTTTCAAGTAGTTATGAAGTCATACACACCAATACATTATCAAGAGTCCTTATGACTTATATTACGCATTCAGCTTGCCTTTAACACATACACTTGTTGACAGTCGGCGCAAACAAAATGCCTCTTTTATCTGTCCTATGTTTAGGTCAGATAAATTTGCTACTAAACATTGTTTCACCATTTTTGTACATGTGTGTGACGTAACGAAAAAAATATATACAGCGGCCAAATAGAAAACAATTAAAAGTCATTTAAACCTCTTCTATCTACTATCTAGTGACAGATTGGAAAACAAAAAGTCCGCAAGAAAATTAGAAAGTCTTACAACTCTACGTAGAATCGGCTCCAAAGACGAGCAAAGCTTTTGCAGACTATCCACCTTGAGAGCTTCAACAATTACACTGCATTAAGGTGAGCATTCTCAATAATCGACATTTTCACCACATTCATCATTCATAAGACATTCAATTCATTACGGGATTATAAATTCGTGGGTTCAAGTCTTCAAGCTACAGTGTTTCGCAAATGTAACACAATATCTTGAACAATTTCATATCCAGATATACGTTTCAGCTGAATTTACAAATCAGTTATAATTACGTCAAAAGTTAAGTTTTCTTTTAACAGAAAGAAAAAGTCACCTAGCGAGAGCAGGACGTTTCCTATCCGGCTGGCCTTCTTCAGCTGAAGAAGAATCCAAACTTCGCTTCTCCCTCGCCATACTGTTGGATCTCTCCATGTACCTCGTCTGCATCTTCTTTCACCGTTCTCGAAAACTCAACCTCCTGTTTGGTTGCTGAGAAAGTGAAAGGGAAAAAAAAAACAATCACACAAAAACTTCCAAATCACACAGAGCTAACTTTCACTTTAATGTGAAGATTCAGAATTCAAAATTTAAAATTCCATTTCCCATACGCAGACACACACCAACAAACAAACAAACAAACGTCAAAAATACGACTCGGATTCCAGTTGTCTTCCGTTTTCCGAGCAGCCAAACAGCAAAATCTGATCCAAAAACACAAGTGGCCCTCCGCTTTATTCCATGCGCGGTACGTGCGGAATCGAATTTCGGATAAGGAAAAAAGGAAAAGTAGGAAAAAGCGAGCGGGAAAAAGTGAGAAAAAAAAATGTACCTGAAAAATCTTTGCGAGAGGAATCCGAGAAGTTTCCGCGAAGCGTCGGCGAACTTTCTCGCTCGGTAGCGTCTCTGAAACAACTAAAGAGTGAAAGAGAGGGTTTTTTGTCCCAGTGCTGCGGATACAGCCACTTGCTTGCCATTTTGTATTTTCTTTCTCTTTCTTTTTTAATTTTCTCGCATTTTCTCTCGATCCAAACAGTGGCGAATCTCTTGCTGCCGCTGGTCGGTGGCTGAGATCTTCTGAGGGAGCCGATCGGAGGATCGGGACCGTTGGAACAGTTGAACTTTGGGAATCTTTTGATTTTTTTATGGATTTGACCACGTGACCGGAGGATCTGTATGTTTCACAAACACACTGGTTAATGTCAGTTACTCAAACACACTGGTTACAAATATTTAATCATATGTACAATTCGACGACGCTAAATCCACACTAAACTACTTATAAATTATGACTTAGCGTCTTATATAGTTTAAATGATGTAATTTACTAAAATCAAGTCTAAGACATTTTACTTACGATTAAAAAAGAATTTCCCTAAACCGTGGTAATAGTAATTAAATCTTGTTTAAAAATGTTTTTAAAATAACTGAAATGTGAAATTAATTTTTCTAAAGCATTTTAAGTGTTTTTTTAAAAGAAGCAGCATATATGTGCTTTTTGCAAAAAACACTTAAAACATTTTTTCCTAGATCAACTTGAATTTTTATCAAATATTGGTTTCAAGAACATTTTCACTAAAAACAGTTTCAGTTATTTTAAAAAAATTTCCAAACAAGCCCCAAGCATCTTCGTATTTAGATGTGTCATGTCTTATGTGTAATGATTTTCTTCAATCATTAGATTAATTATGACTTTAAACAAATCGCCTTGATAAGGCTAATAATGATGAGAAAAATAAGAGATTCTGCAGATGCGGTTGATGTAAAACATCCCGCTCAATCAAAGGTTTAATACAAAAACCCGGGCAGTATACAACTAAAAGTTTGATTCCGACAACCAAAGGGTCACTCCAAATGGGAAAGGGTTCCTCTCCGGATCCCTGCCACCAAATCCTATCAATCAACCAATTCGGGCTCTTGATATTTGATCAACGGCTAAAAACAAGAGGCTCCTTAAAAGTTATAATAACTTTAGCCGTTGGATCAAATTTCAACAGTCCGAATTTGTTGATTGACAGGATTTGGTAGAAGGGATCCGAAGAGGATCCCTTTCCCTCCAAATGTACCGAAATGGAAATTCTGGTCAGCTTATCTCATGTACTTCATGATCCTACAGCTAGCGCTTGTTCTTGGTTGGTTTTATTCCCTTCCTTTTATCTCTTTTCCGTTGTAGCTTGGGTCGGGATTTACGCTTTGCAGCTTTTTTCAGAGGTTTGGTCTTTTTCACTGGTATCTTGTGTTTTTTAGAAGCTCCGACTGATTCTGGTAGTGCTGCCTCTGGCTTTTCATCTGGATCACTTTCCTCCTCTCGAGAGATCTCACTTGTTGTCACAATGACTTTCATCTCGCCGTTGTCATAAGTCATTGTACCTTGAGCAATAACAAAGGGGTCAAACTCAAATTGTGATTGACGATAAGCTGAACCATTACAGTACAATGAACAAAGATTTCCAAAATCTAATAGTGCATTGATGCCGACTATGTAGCTGTGATTTAGTGTTGAGATTAGATATCGTATAAAATTTGCAAACCAACACTGTCTCACTGAACCAAAACAACCAAAGAAAACTTAACACTGCAAGGGGATGGCAGCACGAGTACCCAGTATAGTTAGACATGAATGCTTAATGTACTAGGTACTGAGTGACACATGACAGTAGCTTAAATTTATATTTGTATCTAGTTCGGAACAAAGGTTTAGAAAATACCAGAAATTGGTACAGCTGGCTCACTATCTTCATCATCCTCGTGGTCCTCATCACCCTCATCAACCTCATCAGCTGCTGTATCAGTGGCTGGGGTAATCCCACCATTAAGAACCAGTTCCTTTTCTAGTCTCCTCTGCAACAAAAGTAACCAACTTAGACTTGTTTTTTTTATTTATTATTTTTTTTAAAGAATGTTAAAAAGGATGAACATATATATAAAAGAAATGGACCAGTTTTCTCCCTCTTCCCCATCCCCCACACCGCCATAAATACAAACCCTTGTGCATACAACATTCAAGAATAATTGAGTTAAAAAGATTTAAGAAACCAATGGAACCTAAGGTCAAAGCACTTGCATAAGGTGATCAATATGCCTTAGCTGCCTGAGAGAACATGCTTAGAAGCATTGCCTCTATCATGTATGTTCATATGGCATTCTCTTCTGATCTATTGTGAAAAATGTTTCCGGCACAAGAATAAGTTTTTTATGTTGGTTACAAATTCCAGTTTTTTGGCATAAAAAATCGATTTTACATAGCTTTTTCCAGCATAAAACCTCTGGTAAACCTCTAGCAGAAGGAACCCTAAACAATAACTACCATCCTACTAGGAGGTCATTCTTCTGCACTTTATTAAGTTTCTTTTATAGTACAAAACAGTACTTGACCTACATCCTAACAACTAAATCTTATGCTCCAGAACAACATAAATAGCAGTCAATCAATAAAATTTATCCTGGTATCAGAGCAGGACATCTTGAGTTGAATCTTCAATCTTGTACATGTCACCCCCATATGGATATCAAACTTCGGCTCCCTAACTGTCGGGGAAGGCAGAAACACGAGGAGAAGTGCTAGAATATTAACCAACAGCTACCCCACATCTTAAACCTAAAACTTGTAGTGTTACTAACACTTGTCTTGTAAATCACTTAAGGTCAATAAGAAAAGTTCTCATTTTGATTTAATCCCGAATGAAGTTCTTTCGGGTTAAAATCTCATCCCGAAAATTTTTTCTTTTTGCTTTTTCAATGTAATTCCTCTTGCAAAGACACCAACTTTTCGCAACAATGAGATTAAAAACCAAATCAATCAACTATCAAAATCCAATGAGCAGTAAACAAAGCTACACATTACGCAAAAGAGGCAATCAAACGGCCAAAAAACAGCCACAAATTCCAACCTTTTTGCGCAGCTCGAGACGCTTCCGCCGCAGCGCCTCCCCTTGCTTCTGCTCAGCTTCCTTTCTCCTCTTCTTCTTCCTCTTGTGAAACCCAGACACGAAATCGCTTCACAAACCCAAAACAAGCAAGCATCAAAACCCAAAAATTCAAAAAACCCAACTCAGGAAACGCGAAAAGAAACAAAACTTCAGGGCTTAGATTTCATCACTGAGCAAATTTTGTGATGGCGGTTTTTACTACCTGAGGTCTTTCTCGTTGAACGTGACGGCGAGAGCTTTGTTTTTGAGAGCCCTCTTCTTTATGTGAGAACCTCGGGGATTTACGGCCGGAATCGCTTCCTCTACAGCCTTGCCCGCCATTGCAGAATCGGCGCTGCTTTCACTGCGCTGAAGTGTTTAGGCTTGTGGTTCAAGAGGCCTTCTTTGGTAAATAGAATTTGGTTCAGTAGATTGGTCTCGACCAAAATTATAATTGGATTTGAATATCCAGCCCAAAATGCATGGCTATGTTTTCTATGGATCCTAAGCCCAAACGATTTTCCTTTTTTCCATGGTTTTTTATTTTATTTTACAAACAATAGCGTTATTAGTTTAAATTGTTAGTTGTTAGAAAGAAAGGAGATGGAACCGTCACCATAATACATATACATAATTAATTTCTATCGCCATCTAATATCATGGTCTAGTAGTATTCTTTTTTACTTGTAAGTGAGAAGACTTAGGTTCGATTTTTACTAAAGGCGAATTTGAATCACATTATTACCAGCATGTTTAGAGGCTTAGCCAATTCTCTCACCTTCTAGTGTAGATAAGTTTAAAAAAATTACCCTTAATTAGATAAATTATTTGTTAAAAAAAATTAATTTCAGCCACTACGATAAAACATCATTTGCATTTTGTTTCTGCTACCAAGGGCTTGTTTGAATGTATTTTTAAAATGATTGAAAGTATTTTTAAAGAAAATGTTTTTGGGTTTCAAAAGCAATTAAAATGATTTCTGCAAGAAGCACCAATTATGTGCTTTCTAAAAGAATCACCAATTATGTGCTTCTTCCAGGAAGTACTTTATTAAATGTTTTTCCAGGATTTACTTGCATTTTTACTAAGAATTGGTTTCAAAATTAGTTTCACCAAAAATACTTTCAATTATTTTAAAAGCACATCTAAACGAGCTCTAAGTTATAAGTCATCCCACTCTGCAATTAGAAAACGACTTTGGGTCCAACGCTCTTTGCTTTATCTTTTGTGATACCCACAAAAGCCCAATGATACAGTACAACGAACAAATTTCACTTTTCCTGGTTTTTTTTTTTGTAATTTTATTTAATTTGCAAACCAATTTCAGTTCACATCAGACCCGATTCGCTTCATCCAACCGAACCCGTTTCTCCGCCAACCAAAACATAGAATTCCACGTCACACATTTTCAGGCTCACCCAAAGCAAGAACCCCTCAACGACTCGAAGACTTGGACTACAAGCCAAACATGGACCGACCCGGACGCGTACCCGAGTCCGCTCCACCAGAATCCCTTATCTCGACCGGGTTCTCATAAACGGCGTCGTTAAACCGGAGACTCTATTCTCCGACGGAGTGCTCCGGTGGTCGCAGAGAGCTGAACGGAGCTTGATAGTCGAGAAGGATGTCCTCGGGTTCGCGGCAGAAGACCCGAAGATTAGGATCAGAGCTTTAGTGGAAGGCGGAGCCAGTATTTGCTGCGCCGCGAGCAGAGGAGCTGTGGCGCGGAAGGACTTGGTGTTCGAGCCTCTCTTTGAGGAATCGCACCGGCTCTGGTGCCAGAAGCTCCGCGATTACATCGATTCTCTCGGTAACTTTCGTATGCTTGTAATCGGCTTATGTCCTGTTTGGTTGATAGGAAAATGCAGGAAAATCAAATGAATGTTTAAAAGTTGACTTATGACTTCTTGTTGTTTGACCGTTGAGATTTTTGAATTTCTTTTGTTTTCGTTCTAATTTGTTAGCTTGAGCTAAAGCAAGCTCTTTTTACTCTAAATTTTACTGAATTAAGATTAATTCTTGAAAAAATAACATGAATTTATGGTTTATTGTTACTTTCTTGCATATATAGTGATAAAATTGGTGGAAATTTATCCTCTTTTGCACAGGACGGCCAAAGAGGCTGTTTGTTTTTGTGAATCCGTTTGATGGGAGCAAATCTGCTTCAAAGATTTATCTTGATCACGTAAAACCTCTTTTCGAGGATGCTGGCATCCAATTTACGCTGCAAGGTTAGGAATTTCCGTCAATGTTTTGCTTATTAGTTGTTAGTTGATGTGTGATACTGAATTTTGGATCTGTGAATTGCGGGTTGAGTTAATGTTTCCCTTTTCGTAATTGTTTCTTGATCAAATTTTTCAGAAACTCGATATAAACTGCATGAGAAGGAAGTTGCTAAAACACTAGATCTTTCAAAGTATGATGGCGTTGTTTGTGTTAGCGGGATGGAATCTTGGTTGAGGTTAGTTTCCAGTTATCGGTGGCAGCTATAATAAAAACGAGCAATGCCATGTTGTGATCGAGCAGATGGCGCTGTTGATGAATCAAATTACTAACGCTGACAAACTTTGTTTTTTCTCTTTTCCGTCAAATTGAGTAGGATTTTGATTGCAGGGAGAGCTGCGGTAATTTGGCAAACATAGTTTTACTATTTTCTTCTTACAAGCGTTGCACTTTTTAGTAGGTAGTAAATGGACTCCTTGAGAGAGAGGATTGGGATTCTGTAATAAAGGTTCCTCTTGGAGTAGTTCCTGCAGGTTTCGTACTCTTTAATTCTCAATTTTCTTTATTTTTTAGCAAAAAAAAATCTCTGATAATTAGGTAGATCATTCATGTTATAGAAGGTGAGGGCAAAGCGGTGAATTGCATGTTTGCGCTTCAAAACAAGCATAGTTATTTGTCTGTTATTGCTTTCAAGATTAATTTCTGACGAGATTCTCTCCATTAGGTACCGGAAATGGAATGGCAAAATCTCTTTTGGATTCTGTTGGTGAACCTTGTACACCGTCTAATGCTGTTCTCGACATTATCCGAGGTTACATATTATACTGTGCTCAAAATATTACGATTCCTCCCTTTCTATTACTCTGTCGGTAATTGTTTTGATTAATGAATTTTTCTTTGTGGTTTATTTACGGTCAGGGCATAAGCGTTCACTGGATGTAGCTACCATATGCCAGGGGAAGACCAAATTCTTTAGTGTATTGATGCTTGCATGGGGTAAGTGAAAAGTATCACCACTGGATAGTGGAATTAATACCTAAATGAATGTAGAGTTTCTAATTGTACATTAGAATCTCTGGTTCTCACTGCAACCGAAAAATGCAGTGATTGTATAGGTGCCTTGTAAAGCTTTATCTGCTTTCAGGTTTAGTGGCAGATGTTGACATTGAGTCTGAGAAGTATAGGTGGATGGGAAGTGCTCGACTAGATTTCTATGTAAGTTTAAATCTCTCGTTTGTTATGTTACTGGATTACTCCATTGCTAATGCAGATGTTCGTGTGCTTGTGTATGAATTTGAATGGCAAGAAATTAATAATAATTGTTTATGTATGTTAGGCTGTTCAACGGATTGTGCATTTGAGGCAATATAATGGATATATTTCTTTTGTGCCAGCACCGGGCTTAGAAACTTACGGAAAGCCTACTAGTTAACAGTAATGACAGTGGACCTGCTAACCAACACAATGCACGTGCTCCAAATCAAGAGGAGCCGATTAACATTCGACAGCATGGCTATGAGGGTCCTGATGTTCACTTACATAGCATGGACTGGAGAACCATTAGGGGGCCCCTCGTTTCAATCTGACTTCACAATGTGCCTTGGGGTGGTGAAGGCACAAAGGCAGCGCCTGATGCCAAGGTTGGACTGTAAAATTGCGTAGCATATACATCAGATACTTCTCCGCTAATACTTTCTAGGGATGTAAATGTTTATTTAAAACTCGAATAATTCACATGTATTCGTGCTCCTTTGCAGTTCTCGGATGGTTATATAGACGTGATAGTGATGAGGGCCTGTCCAAAACTATCATTGCTCTCGTTGATGGCTGGGTTGAGCACAGGAAGCCATATCAAATCACCATATGTCTTGTACTTCAAGGTCAGGAGAATCAAACTCTCGAGCATTTACTATTGCTCGAGATTTTGTCTACCTTTGGGCAAATAAGAAGCTTTCATAACGTTTCTTGTGACATACTGCAGGTGAAAGCATTTATTTTGCGACCTGGTCCTCGCACCGAGGACCAAGTTAAGGGAGGGATAATCGACTCAGATGACGAGGCCGAGGAGCATACGGATGTGACCAAAAGACACTGATGGCCTACGACGAACTTCAAATAACCGTGGATCAAGGTTTAGCTACTCTGTTTTCCCCAGTATAGAACAAACTCTCTTTTTTTTTATTTTTTTATCACGGATTCGATTTTTGTTACAGGAAGAAATTCCAATCAGGCAGCTTTCATCCACCCCGTACGTGTATAGCCGCAAGGAGGATACAAGGGATTTGGATGGAAAAGGCATTTTCTCAGCAACTTGCTTGCTGATAAGTTGTTTTGTCATGGCCTCCGGTAACTGTCGATGTGCTGTGCAGTTTGCCTTTCACTCTTCTTGCTTTGATTTTTCAATTTCTTTAGTTCGGAAAAGATTGTTGTACGGAAATGTATACGCTGCTGCGGTAGATACAGAGACCATTTTGCTACGTAAAAGACCATTTTGATCACGGATCGATGTACGAAGAAGATTATTTTTCACCACGTAAACCTGAGAACTATTTTCTAGTTACGTTAATAAAATTGATTGATGCACATTATGTCAGTACGAAAGTTATATTAAAGTCAACTGTATGGCGGGAACCTAGAACCCTTAGATTTGATGTAGTTCTCCGAAACATACTAGAAAATCTCCAAGATAATATATCGAATTGACATTGATCAATACGATCTGTGTGTTGCATAAGCTAAAATGCTTTGAGTCTTGACTCTTGATCCCTTGGCCCAACCGTTGTATAATATTACCAAATTATACAAGTCAATATGCCAGGTAATTTTTTTTTTTTTTAAATTGTTGTTAGACCTTCTGAACTATTAATCTAGTTAAAATTGACTTTCTGAGCTATTTTTATGGTAAAATAATCTCTGAACTATTTAAAATTAGTCAATTAACCCCTCGCCGTCATATTCGATGAAATTCATTCACTTTGCTGTTAAATACTGTCACGTGACCAGAACGTGATTCACTCTTGAGAATAAAGTCATGCCATTATTTAACAGCAACTTGATTAAAATTTCATCGAATATGACGATGAGGGATTAATTGATTAATTTTAAATAGTTCATATATTAATTTACCAATTGAATAAATCAAGAAGTCAATTTCAAGTTTCTACTTGAATAATAATCTA